GGCAGTGGTGGCTAATGTAATTGGTAATTATTTAATTTAATATGCTAATTTCCTAGGATCTTTCGGGCTTACTTAACCAGTTAAGGCTAGCCTCGTTTTGCTTTGCTCTTGCTGACAACAGCTTCAAGTTCAGCTCTGCGGTAACTTGCTCATGAAGTCCATGCGGCAGTACAGTTACATGGGAGTCTTGCATTTGTCGTGCTTCGCCTTGGTACACCCAGGCATGAGGTAACCATTCTACATATGCACTGTCCAGTTCTGATTCTGTTTGTATTGGGATCACACTAGAAGATTCAGCATGAGGTTCTTGTCGTCATGGCGTGCGCTCGCCCTGCAAGATTGCCACAAAGCGCAATGACCCCTCCGTGCTCGTTCACAGTTCCGTCGGTGTTGCATGCAGATTTGTTAAACCTCAAAGGTCAAAGTGAACATGTAGGGGTACAAATCCGCAAATGTGACTATTGTCCTGCTGCTTTCACTTTCCTCGCATATCCACTGGCAAGCCTTGTCTTTCAATTTCTTTCTGTGTCTATTATTATTCAACTCCAACTTGCTTACACTCCATTGCCGTAGGCCTGCTTGTGTCTTTCACCCTTGAGTGCAAAAATTGATCTTTCCGTGCTGCATGCAGGTGTTCTTGTTCACCCAAGGGTCAAACTGAACGTCCAAGGGTGAAGAATCTTGGCTTGCAAACACAGTGTCACAGCTAATCCGAGCTTAATTTAGGTCCTTGTCGCAAGCTGTAACTGTAACTGTAAGTCATTTGATTTGGTCTGGTCCTGGTTATAAATAAAAATTTACAGGACGATGTACAGGGGGGCATGTCTTGTACAGGAATCCTGGAAGACGTACCGTCGCTGTCCCGTGGTTCTTGGTGTTTCTTTTGCTGTCCCTTCCACTGTTTTTGAAAACTTCAATGTCAACTATTATTATTATTTTGGACTCATTGATTCATTGCCACTGCCAAGTTATACGAGTCCGCTTCGTCGGCCCTCCCTCCCCCTGTCTGTTTGTCTGTCCGTCTCCCTCTCTCTCTCCCCTGCTTTTCCCTATCTCTGTTTTGTCGCAATTGAATTTGGCTAATTCAAGCCTCTTCAACTTGCATCGCATGATTGGGAATGGCTTGCTACACGTTTCTGTCACGGACCCTTCAGTGAGGAAATATACCCTTCCGTGCTCTACACAGCTTTTTTGATCACCCAAGGGTCAAATTTAACATCCAAGGGTGACTGACATTGATCATGTACACATGCAGTCATGGCGGGTCGTTGTCGCAAGTAAGAATTAAAGGTTTCAGAGGGACACCTGCCTGCTAGGGAATTCTTGCATTTTCTAAGTCCTCAGCCTGGCTGCAATAATAATAATTTTAATTAAAATAGTGAGCTAGCGGAAGCACGGGCCACAGGGTTCTTCTGGGCATGGCCTCCCCCTTGGACGGTTGGAGGCTTGAGACGGCAGTTCGAAGGTTGGCATACTCTGCGGAATGGACGTGTTGCAATGGCAATGTTACTTAACTTACTGTACTTATCAACATGACATGTNNNTGAGTTCTCGAACGTCTAGTAAGACAAGATACAAGCAGAGAGCCTGTGCTGCCTTCCTATGAATGAGCTGCACTTGAAGTAATCATCGGTCACCTGTCACTGAGGGCTACAATTCAATGACAACACTCTTTGCACCTGGGAAAGTCAACGTTGCAGTGACGAAGTTTAAAGTAAAGAATAGCATCACTGGATCTTTTAGGTCCAAGACCCCTTGTCAAAACCCACTCGAGCATCCCCGTCCACATGGATTATTGCTTCGATTGCGGCCAGGCTGCTGGACCTACTTTGACATTGATGTTCCTACTACGTCGAAGCTGCAGAAGGCTGCAGTGGTTCTTAACTTGTTCATGATATTGCTGTGCCAGCCTGTAGCAGATGATGTATACTCTGCATGAGGCCTTGGGAGTTAAGGTGGCTAGCTGAATAACCAAGTAATCAGCATCTGTGTTTTTATAGTCTAAGGTTACCTTGATTGATGCAGTTCAGAATGCTTTGAAAAAACAGTGGTTGATGTGTGTCTCAAGCACTTATTGTGCAGCATCCCATCCAGTGCCTTTGAGTGACCCTTTTGTTGCAGCAGCAAGCCTAAGCCATGAGTTGCTATTAAACTACTTGACTGGGTTGACAGTGCAGGCTTGGGTTAGCCTTTCAGGAAAGCCGTTTGCTTCAGCCTCTCCTAGCATGTAGACTTAGATTCGGACGGAATGCCCAAGTCTGTGCCGTTGACCCTTCAGTGCAGCCTAACGATCCTTCCGTGCTGTATGCAGGTGTTGTTGTTCACCCAAGGGTCTAAACGAACATCCAAGTTGGGGTTACTGTCCTTGGTTTACAATTTCACTGTCTTCATTTTTCAGATTCAGCACTCGTGCACAATAGCACACTCAGGTTGTTGCATAGGTCGTTGTCGCAAGTATTCTCTTCCCGGCCCCGCCAGGCTCTGGCAACCGGCAGCTTGCGTGCTGCTGTCAAAAAAAGGAGCGACCTTCTTGTTCTGGTTGTTGCTCTACTACTACTACCACAAAGACCCTGAA